CACAAACTGTCTGGTTAAATATTAATAGTGCCTTATAAAAAGGCTGTAACACAGAAATGCAGGAAAGCTGATTAGCTCATACAGATAGTCAAAGCAATCTATATGATGGAGAAACTTACATACACTGTGAGACTGCAAGAACCCCTCATCAAAAAAGTGGGGCAAATGGAGATTATACAAAAGAAAGAAAGTGGCACTGTAGACCAAATGGAAACTGACAAAGAAGAATGACCGGTTGGACATACGTATTTATATATTTTTTTATAACCTGTAGATGTTTTCCCTTAACTCAGGTGCAAGACACTTAATCTGTCCCCTCCTGAGCTTTCAGTGCCACTTAACCTTGGGGTGACAGACAGAACATATTTCATCACACATAATGGGTGTGTGTCTGCCAATATGTGTGCAAGGACAGCTGGGAAATAAGGTGACTGTACAGGACTGCAGCCAAGGTGTGAGTCATTTCTCCATTGCTACAGTACTTGTGAAGTTTCCTTGATTGTGTACATCACTTGGTACAAATCCCAACAGCATATAGTCAAAAGATTCCCCTTACAGCTGGGTGCAATAAGAAGAGCATTTCATATAGTCTGACAATCCTAATGTAGGAAACAAATGCTAATATAAAGTATAAAGTACAAAGGCAATTGTAATGTATTAAATAAAGGAATTAGATTAATTAGATGACAGAAAAGAACCTCATTGATCCTCTAGCTATATTGTGCTGGAGCAAAACAGACAATTTACTAAACTAATTAAATGAATTGTTGGGTTTTTTTTCAGAATTTGGGTTAAATGGTGATTACAGGGACAAGAAACAAATTATAAAATTTTATCCTTTACAGTTTTGTTGTATCCTAAATGGTGTGTGACTGTATATGGGTTCAGACTGGTGCGCTTTCATGCCTTACATTTATGCAGCTGTAAACCTAAACTCTCATAATCTCACCATCAATCACCATGTTCTCTTTATGGCCATGAGAGACAGAGTTCCCTCAAGCATTAGGTTTAATTTGATCAAGGCCTGGCAATTTCAGTGATTTCTGCATCAATTAGTGAGCTATTTAAACACTTTTATGATATTAAGTCAGGAAAATAAGGACAAAGTAACTGCAAACGAATGAGAGCTTTATGAGTGTTGTTTGACCCACAGTAACAAGAACATGAGGAGGAAAGCATAGAGAAGGTGGGAGGCTGACCAAAAACTACCAGCTGTCTGATGTGGACAGAGAGAGCCTCTGTTTAAGAAGACTCATTAAACGCTTAATGTCAGGCATGAGGGACTCCCTGTGGGCCACATGGACACAAACAATTGCACATATGGACAATCCCACACCCACTGTTACTGGAAACTTTCTAGCTTGTGTACCCTCTGGAGAGCAAGCCTAGCAGGATGTCTGTAAGTGCACCACAAACAAAATGAGCTTCCATTTTCAAGGCACATACGGAAAGAGAGCATAAAGCCTCAAGATGATCCTAATGCAATTTAATGGTGGTGCAAAAAGACAACACATTTTAGGGTTAAGATTTTGCTGAACACAGGTTTCCCACTCTGTTCAACAAATAATTTTCCAGGACATTTCATATATGTAAGGCTGAGATGTCAAATGGGGATCATGTCCCAGACTAACAAGTTCTTCTATATGGAAGTCTCTTTTAAATCATATGTGTTAATCTATGATGATACTTTATCTGTCCAACTAGTCCTTAGGTGCTTTTTGACTGATTAATTATTGACGACAGTAACACTCTCCCAAACACATGCAGATGTTCAGTTCCTCAATGTGTGACTGTTAATATCCTACAATAAATGTGTGAGATTTACTTTCTGGCGTTTTTCTTGTCGCTCTCTCCACAGTCTCTTTTACTTCACAGGCTGGGGTAAAAAAAAAAATAAAAACCTGACTTAGAGGCTAGCATAACTTAAAAAAAGCCATCTGACTTGACTCTAACAACAAAAAGCAATAATAAAACAACAACATTCAAGAAGAGTTCTGTCTTTTTTTCTTATAATTTCTAGATGGAATTTTGTAAGTTTATTAGCAATGGCAGTGCTGATAACGATATCCTCAGGGGTATGTGTTTATCAGTTACATACATATCCTGAAATGTATTGTGTATTATTATCATATCATCGGTACTGTGGGTAATGTACAGTATCTTGATGTTATTGTATTACAAGTTATGCTCTGATCCCCTTCCCTAATGGACATTTGACTGTCTGAGTCAAATCAACAACATTAATGATGTAATTTTAGATGGCCACTGTCATCCAGTCAAAACCAGCATAGTGGAATCTATGATAAATACCTTGTGTATTTTCCCATCCTCAGTGCCAACAAGAAAGAGATAGTCGATCTGTTTATGGAAGTCAAATGATGTACCACAGGCTGTGGACAAGAGGAATGAAGCACTTAAATTAGACATGGAATGTTACAGACACCGGACCAAAATTCTGGACCAAATCTGATCTGATATATATAGAGTATAGTATTCTGCATAAGTAACAGGGGTTAAATTATGGCCTGCATACATTCTTATAATGTTCACAAGATGACATGCCAAGTGAGCGAAGCCTTACCGATGCTGGGCTGCTGTGCACTTTCCGGCCCCTCAGAGACAGCACCATTCAGTGACAGTCTGATAATGTCTGTAAAAACCAGCTCGTTCTGCAAATATTCAAACATATGGTGATGCAGTTGAAGGTACATATACCTGTACATGTGAATTCAAACCACATAGGCAAGTGCTTGATTAGCAAGCATCTTAAAAATTTGCATTATATTTGTATTTGGTTTAGATAAAAGACTAATGAGAGTACAAGAGAGAAGAGCTGTAAAGAAATGTCTTTTCTTAGCTAACCTTAATAAGTGTCCAAGACACAACTCGTCCATCAGATGACACAGAGCAGAAATTATGGTTGTTGTCCATGTCATCCTTCTGCCAGCGTACCTGAATGAAAGAATTAGCAATAATGAACAAATCCACTGGAAAAAAAAAGTTAGTGTGTTTAGTGTGTGTGAAAATGTTTTTTTGTGTTAAATTAAAATAGTATAGTAAAGTTAGTTACATTAACTGTATATGGAATTTCCTTTATTCTCTGGTGACTAAAATTCTGTGGTTAGATTAGGGGAGTATCATAAATTAGAACTGCTCCATGCTTGACATTAGAGGGTTTGGGGTGGCTCTAAAAATGGCCTGAATGTGTAAATTGGGAAAAAGTAATAGTGCGAGGTTGGAGTGGCTGGAACTAGGCATACACTCTGCTCTCCCATCACCTCTGTCTTGTCCCCTACGCTCACCTGCCAGACAGGGTCAGTGTGTTTGCCAGTCTTAGCTGTGCTCTTGTACACAGGCTCCAGTCCCTTCTCTTTCAGGTTGTAGACAGCCACAGAGCCGTCATAGAAGCCTACCACCACCAGGGAGGAGTGCTGTTCATGGATGTCGAGGCACAGGACGCCAGAGTTGGTGGGGTAGATATACTCTGGAAATGCAGAGTTCTTCAGTGAGTAGAAGACAAGCATGCCACGGCCCTGCTTACTGAAGTCATCTGGTTGAGAGAAGAACAGAGCAGAGGGGATGGAAGGATGCAAAAATAAATATGTGAATAAACTGAAACAAAAAGCAAACTAATACCCCTCACAGAAAATGACAATTACAGATCTGATTAGAGCAGACAAAATTTTAATCATCTATGAGATGTTCACATAACTACTCACTATTGTGCATACTTACATGATCCCATTCCCACAGCAAACAGGTCCTGATATTTGTTATTCCTGTTAAGGGCAGATGCATCAATCAGTCAGACTCTTTTCTTGTCATAGCAGAGGGGATATAAAATTACTGAACTATAATCACAAATAGCAGATGTATGAAATCACAACCCCTCACCTTAAGAATACTAAATAAACATCATCCTGAAGGAATATCAGTAACGTTGATGGACAAACCTACCAGCAGAGGGCAGTGACAGACAGTCTTTTGGCTTTGTCATACTGGAATTTCCACAAAGGCAGAAGGGTGCCCTCCTGGTCCCTGAACTCATCAGAGGCATCCTCAAAGTATTTGAAGTCTGAAAGGGCATGAAAAGAGAGCAGGGAGAAGAGAAGAGAAGTTAAAGAGTATAATACCAAATGTGACTGTACTTTATTATACTGCCATTTGACATGTTTAAAAGAACCTACCTTGTGCTATGTCATCAAAGATATTCTGATTGACCATTCGTTCAAAGATCTTGGATGCTTTTCCCACTTTAGTGATATCATCAGTCTATAAGAGGAACATGATAACATTTTGGATGGAAACACCGCAAAAATAATCTCATTAAATAATCATAAATTAACAAATCATTATTATATCACAAATCCTGGGTCATGTTGTTAGCTTTAAAGATGCAGTATGACACTATTGCTTGACAGCCTTTAACAAAGTTCCGCATGAAAATGTATGCAATGCAAAAGCATTATTAACATAAATGTGTTAAATGCAAATAGTAGCTGCATGTTAAGTTTAAGCAGAGACAGGTAAGCAGTCAGTTTACCTGAGTCTCCATCAACATCATCTTCTTCTTGCTTTGGTCATTATCTTTCTTTGATGGTACAGCTTTCTGCTTCTCTTTATTTTTTTCTTGTTTCTGCAGCTCCTCCACGTATGCAATATAGATCTCCCACTGCAAAAAGACAGATGTATTACAGTCTGCAAATGTGAGGACATACTGTATATTCACTAGTGCTCACAGTGTGAAAACAAGCCTTACACCTTTTCAACCTTTCTTTTTCAAACAAGTCAGAGACTCCACTACCTGATTAGCGGTGCCAGAGAAGGTGCTGCGTGGAGGAGGTTCAGTCTGGCAGCTTCTTTCCTATAGGGAAAAAAAAAATGACTTCACTAAAACTCTTGGTGCCCTAGTTGTACTGAGGATTAAAGGGGAACTAAATTAAAGAAGCTAAATAGAACCATCTTTTTTACACTAGTTTAGGAATTTTGTTATTATACACACACCAGTGTGATGTTTTTCATACCCTCCAATATGAAAACTGTCCCTTTTTAAGATGTTTTGAATGTTTAGAATCTTATGCTAGAAATCTCAACCACTATGCAGATGATTGACTGTACTGCTTCTACCTACCCTCAGTGGGTTATTGAGGGTCTGGGAGGCCCTCTCACTGAAGTTGAACTGGTTAGTAAGCTTTGGTTCCTGCTTGTCAGTTTTGGAGGCAACACTGTCTGGTCTGTCCTCCACTCCCACTTCCTCCACTTCACCTCCGTCCTCTACAGGTGTGGCCTGTGGAGAAAGGCAGTTTTGTAGCTCAAGTCACACTCCTCAATTGTTGACCTTCTGAGATAATGCCGATCAGTCTGTGTCATGCAGTTTAAAATAAAATATGAAATACTACCAAAGACAATCCAATGGTATGATTTTAGTTTCATTCATATAAAAACTGCATGCATGCTGGCAAAGCAGCAGAGGATCTTTAAACACCAAAAAGATACATTTACTCCAAATGAGCAAGCAACACAGTGAAAGAATTTGAATAAAAACTAACATTTCTGTCAAAAGGTCATTGTCGGCACAACTTACAGACCCACAAATTAAGATTTTAGCTTACAAAATTTATGATTTTACCGGGATTTCTGGATTTTCCTCATCAGGTTCTGCTCCAATGTCAACCTTTTCAGTCTCTGGACACATTGAAAATATCAAATCATAATGTAATTGTGTATAAACTGGACGAATCACTATTTTGTGTAAACTCTGAAAACCTTAACTTTATGACACATGTTGAAAGTGACTCTTTGAGGTGCAAAGTATGTACTACAGCGAAGAAAAAACACACTACATGCTACAAAAACACACTATGGAACAGTGTCTTTTTGTGGAAAAGAATAATTTCTTTGTTTGGAATATCTGGCAGTGTTACTGTTTTCTAAACACAGAATTAAGCAGGCTTCAGTAACTACCTTCTGGGAGACTCTCTTTGGCCTTCAGCCTACGAGCCTCATCAGAGTCTTGATGCACTAGACTACCCTCCAAGACAAAGTGAACAGCCATCTGATCTACAATGGTGGTAGGCCTGTAGGAACGTTCCTGGGAAACAAAACAAACAGTGATGTAAGCAGGGAAATCTGTCAGTTTTGTGTAACTGTGGTTAGGAAAGAAGACATTTTATGTTAATTCACTGCTTAGATTGTATCAAATAAATAACACAAATTAGAAGCACAAAAACATTGGTGGGGAATAGTTTATTGTTATCTTTTAGATGTAAGGAGCTGACAGGAAAGCGAGGCCATTTGCCTGAAGTTATAAACCTGGATGGAACTTCCTTACCTTAAAGCTGTAGCGGACAATATTTTGGGGGGCATGTGGGTTGTTTGCAGTCAGGATCCTTGTGATTTCCTCCTTCAGCTCCTATGGGTATAATTACACATAAAACAAAGAGCATAACAGCACAGGTTACACATACCTGACTAATTTGACAAGTGTATTAATGGCAAGCACAATGATCAGCTATAATGAAAAAGTTATAGCTCTAGTTACAAAATAGAGCCAAACAAAACAGCAAATTCTGAGCCAATTTCCTCTAAACAGTCCATGTGACTGTCGTAGCTGTTCTTACAGCCTCAGTGAGCTCCAGTTGATCTGCAGGTTTCATAAGTGTTTTCCCATGAGGCCACTCATCCAATCCCTCAGCCATATACAGGTCTTCTTCCTCATCCTGTGACAATAAGGTAATACAAACGTGACTTATATCTTGGTTAAATACAAAAAGACATAATGTTGTAATTGCACATTTGTTGTTCATAGTTCTCCCTCCGCGCTCAGATTCCAAACTCAGACGTGTTATTAATTTATGGCATTTTGTCACTGGTTTGTGACTCCAACTAGACGCAGTTTTTTCTTTTTCTCGCTTCTAGCTCTGGGTAACTTTGCACTAGGTAGGACGATATTCTGAAAAGTTTACCCCTGTGTGAAATGAAATTACGGGCAAGCAGGCAAAATGAAAAATAGTATAAGCTTAGATAACACTAATTGTGCTACGTTTAGCCTTTTAATTATTCAGTTGTCACCACTTTGCTAGCCAACGTTACCGCTAGTTAGCGCTAGCCAAACTAAACTGGCATTTGACGTTAACGTTACCTTTCTCACAGGTGCTCCAGCGTTATTGTTAGAACGGGGCATTGCAACAAGAGTCCGGTTTGCAGCCGTAACCAACAATGTAGCTATATGGTACTGGTCAATATAAATTCTATGGTCATAAAATAAAACAAAAAACTTTTAATTAGTTAAAAACACAAGAATACTTGCTTTCCGGAAGTTCATTGCTGCTGTATATAGGTTGCCAAGACAACCGACCCTCTCGCACAGTCATTCAAAGAGGTCAAAGATATATTATACAGTCAAGATAATTCACAGCAAATTGAGCCAGCCCACTCAGTTAGTCTCCACTAAATTAGCTCTTTTTTGATTGTGAGTTATATTAGCAATGACATTTAATTGTATCAGGTCATGAACATTAGACCTATATGAGGTCTGAAAGCCTCTTATGTGCT